GGCGAAACAGTATACTCTGTTATGTCCATGGTACTGCTCATGTCTATAAGCGACGGTTACCACTTTCCATCAGGTGGGCCGCCAGCTTCTTTGCCATTCTAAGTTGCATAAAAAAACAAATAATAAACAACTACACATGTTGGTACAACGATAACAAACGAACAAAATTGTACAAGTACTTAAAGCTCTGTATAAAAGTTTATCAATACCTATTATTAAGATACAAAGATATTGAGACACGTATTCAATATGACAGCCAACTGTAAAGACAAGTTATGAAATACGTCTCTCAGCTAATAGCATAGATAATTTATACCATAAATGCATTATAAATAGAATACAAATTACTATAATTAGCAATAACATATTATAGTGGATATCAAATTTATGAATATATTGAGAAATATGCCTACGCAAGACACAAAGCCTGCATCGCTCATTGTAATGAATCAGTAAATATGGTAATAACATGAGGTATAGTGTAATTGAATTTGTTTACAAGCTGTCTTGTAGTGAATTCAAGGAGGTGTCTACTACGAGTTTCCCACGGTATATAATTTAAAAGATATTTACAAATAGCAGGATTTAGTTAAGAAACACCTAGGCCTATGAAAACATTAAGGTTTATTTAAATACGACATTATATTAAAATGAAATTATAGATTTAAAGTTCAAGCTCCAAGATTAAATCGGTAAGGTAATCTACCTAATACCTATGTAATACACGGTTAATGTTATAATAGTAAAAAAATATCATTGACATAAAAAATAAGACACATATTCCCATACAAAGATTTTATTTAAAACCCTTAATAACTAAAGTACGAGTAACTTGAAAAAAAAAAATGGGTGTATATAAATTTTTAATACAACTTAGAATGGCAAATAAGGTGACGACCCACCTGATGGAAATATATATATATGTATGTGTGCATTTATTATATTAATAGGTCATACATAGAAATAAAAAAATCTCATTATAATATTAGATCTTACTTCTATTATAAATGTAAAAGTTTATAACAATGTATGGATATATCTGTTATTACTCTTTCACGTAAAAGAAAGGAAGCTCTCCTTCCTGACTTTACTGATGGTATTTGAGTGAAGTTTAATATACGGATAGTAATATGTAATATACTAAATATAAAATAAATAATGTATTGATTCATGTGAACTAAATTACAGAATACAGCCAGTATCAGATAAATTAATAGTCACGCATATACATTTACATAAAATACGTGACCTCAAAACATCTCTTCGACGTATGATTTCAATAAAGTAAGCAATTCAAGACTATTATGTACTTTTGTGCAAATAAGGGACATGACATATTTACAAGCATCAATACACCAATGCACCTTTCATTGATTGAGTAATAAATCTGATGGATTTATGTTTTATGTCGGACATTATAATAAACATGTCCATTTAGACGCATTCTTAAAGATTGTATACAGTGTGTAGTTTGTACATACATTCATGTGCATATGTATTTATATGTTAATGTCATTATCGGCATATAACCGAGAATTCTGCCTAGTAACCTAGATAAAAAGTGTCCTATATTTTTCTTTATCCCACATACTATATATTTGCAATTTCATGACAGTTAAGCTATTAAGGCGCCAATAATGAGATAACAAACATGCTCATAGTTACATTTATAAATAAGCTATATATGTACTAAATTTCATTCAAATTGTTCAGTTGGTTTGGTGTAAAAGAATAACAAACGTCTATTCATCCTCAACAATTGCATTTATAACAGTAGTAAGGCGTAAGCTGTTGTCTGCGGCTTTGCACGCGTGATGTCATGTTTCCCCTTTAAATTTCTATCTTTAAAAATCCTTTCTTATATCGAATGCTTAAGTTATATATATTTTTTTTAAATTTCAAGTTTTTAGTTTTAATAGTTTTGAATTTTCAGGGAAGACAAAGGACTTTATAAATATAGGTAAGATTAACATAGGTAAAAAAAATGAATTTATTATTACTGTGGATTTATGTAAGCATTTAGTTGTATAATACATGTTATGAGCAAAATACACTTATTTGTATATTATATAAATATAAATTGTACAGTAATCTAAATAGGTACATTTTTGCAATAATTGAGATGAATAATATAATTATTATATGTATAAATACATAAATATTACAAAAGTATTTGTTACGTAATGAAAATGTGTGCCTAATGTTAATACCATAGAAAATGAAAGTCTTATTACCTAGTCACCTACGCCTTTAATTAGCCCATTACTCTTGGGATCTCTGACCTCTTAACACGTAAGAACCAGTTATTAAATGACTCATTCCAAATATTGTAAAATAGATGGAGCTTAGATTATTATAATGCCAATGATTATAACTAAACTATAATATATATTTATAAAGTTATATTCTTTTTAATATATGTATCATAATAGAAAACGGATACAAAACAATTAATTGTATATTATTTATTTATTTATATTATTTAGGTGGACAAATTAATTATTATGGACAAATGTACAGTCTTGTCCTTTGCTATTAAAATAGTGTCACTATAGAAATATTTCTTACTAATAGATATTATAAACGAAAAAGGTTGGAAATACGTTTGTATGATTTTTATTACATAATGCTTAGAAAAATTAAAATTTTATTAAATTGGGTATACAGAAAAAGTTATGTTTAAGACTGATATTTTTTATGCTACTTGGAATAACAAATTGACGTCTTGTATAATTGAAAAGCGGTAACAATTACCTACAGGCATGAACAATGCCATTAATTATTCTGATCGTAAATGTTAAGTCAAATCTTATAATGTATGGGTATTCTAATAATCCTATAAGGTTCCTACTGGTGGCAGCGTGATGGGTGGGGTCGTTGAGTTCCCTAAAATATAGTAGAACATACGACCAACGTAATCTGGTACTCCTTATACGAACGGAAAGTACGTATAAAAGTTTTTTAAAAATTTTATTTTACAATTATTCAGGTAAATCAATTTTATCCCCTTCAAAGTACTCCCCCTGTGACATATGCACTTGTGCCAACGCCGTTTCCACTGTGAGAATGAAAGTCCTCTGGTTGTAGGTTTCTCAGCTGCCCCGTCGTAGCTTTTTTTATCTCATTTATGTCCCCCAAATATATATTTGGTTTTTGGGAACAAGAAGAAGTCACACGGGGCCAAATCCGGCGAATAGGGGGGTGTTCGGTCACCGTAATGGAATTTTTACTCAAAAACTCACGGACAACAAGAGAGGTGTGGGCAGGGGCATTGTCGTGGTGAAGAATCCAACGCCCCTCTCGCGCCAATTCTGGACGAACTCGTGCCACACGAGCTTTGAGGCGTTTGAGCACATCGACGTAGAATTTTCCATCAACTGTCTGGCCTGGAGGGACGAATTCTTGATGGACAATCCCCCGAACATCGAAAAAAACAATCAACATTGTCTCGGCCCTCTCTGAATCTTTTTAGCCACTTGTGGACGGTTGGTTCCTTCACAGCATCATCCCCATAAACTGTTCTGAGATCGGCAAAAATTTCACGGCCATTCTTGCCGAGTTTCGAGAGAAACTTGATTACGACGCGCTGCTCTTCAACGGAAGCGGGCTCCATGCCGACGGGGTTTCGTTAAGAGGTTCACAGATGGCGTGACAAGCCAGTTCGCACCGCACGGCGGTCAGACCAGAACTGAAGCATTGTTAGGGACATAAGGAAGGGGTCCTGCGCTTACCTGGCCTCCCCACTCCTCTTTCTCGCATTCCAGAACACTTTTATACGAACTTTCCGGACAGACCTCGTACATTTCCATTCGTATATATATGTATATTAATAATAACTATATATTTTATACATTTTATATTAATCCAATGGAATCCGCAAGTCACAACTAGTTAAAATAATTACTATTTCTACCGGCCTCTGATTATTCCATTTACAACCGTCGTGTTTCAATAAAAAATGCACACCAATATTCGTATCAATTAAGGCTCTCTTCATCCGTACCCTGTCGAACAGTCTCAAACACGATCTGAATTGCAAATAGCATTTTTTTTCTTCGCTTATACTTCGAAATGATTGTAATTGGAAATTCAGCCAAGCTGTCCGTCTGCGCTTGTTCTAAATCCGATTTGTTACTACAAACACATACAGTGATTTGGTAATCAAATTTAAACCGTATGTTTTATAAAAAAAAATAAACTGTGAGCACTTGTACTAAAACATGAATGAAACAAAAATAAATTAAAGCAATAAATCTTCTAGATATTTTCTTTCTAGATACAGTCCGAAGTATAATATTGTATAGACAATAAAAGAAAGATAAGGAAAACTATTAAAATAATTTTAAATATTAATAAAAATGTAACGATTTCAAGAGATAAAAAGGCACAACATTGTTTAAGTTGATATAAAATATAAGATCTTATTAAATTAAATACTTATTATTATTAAGAAAGTAATTTTTTATAAAAACTGTGTCTGTTACTTCTGTCTATGCGCTGTGGGGCAAGACACAATATATTACGATTCATTTTCATCCTTAAGGTGCCCAAAGAGGTAACTAAGAGAACATAGTACATTCCACCATTGCAAGAGATAGAACTAGTTTTTGCCTACTTAGTGCCTCAGGGCAACTTTTTGACATGCTCCTCCCTCAATGGAGAAAAAAGTCACCGGAGGGCTGGTGTTCACAAAGTACTACCATCAAATTTGATACAATCCCCTTACGGATCCTATAGTGCCCCTATTAGACTTTCGCTTCCTTGGGCATCACTCGATCGCTCTCTTTATCCCATATGATCGATATTCACAAAAGAAAGAAATTAAAAATAAAATTTTATACCGTGCTACTAGCTAGCGTTAATGCATCCTCTTTTCTGAAAGGAGACCTTATATCAATCTTATATCAAAGTATTTCTTTATCTTAATACATTTTTTTTAAGATCACCATGCTGCCATCTTGAGAAAAATTCACGTATTCATTCTTTCCTTATAATTTCAGATGCTGCTGTGCAGTTCTACTTTTCACCGTAGCTTGTACAGCCAGCGATGGATTTTATGGACTATCAAAATACCAAACTGGTTAGTACTAATTTCAGTCTTATGGGAAGAAATGCATAGTTAGCAGTGGACCAGATTATCACAGAACAGACATACTTACAAATATAAATATCTCTATTGAATGGAAACAGAGTATTAAACCGTAAAGTGCATCAATAAATTGTTAATAGATATAATAGTATAATTGGCCGAACTTTGAAGATATATTCAAAATCTTTAATATATTTTAATTTTGACAAAACTTAAAAATATTTATTATTTATAAAAAAAATATTTATTAGTACTGAGATCCATAAAAAGGTTACGAAAGCAAACTGGTTTGATTAAAAGCAAGAATTACCAAAATAATGCATATTTTTACAAAAAAGTTACGTAACATGCATGGTAAAACAAAATACGAATACATTACGAAACTCAGCCTATTTATAAAGATAATTTATTAGTTAACTATTTCTATTTGGTCAATTTTATTCATACTTTTCTAGAAAAATACATTTTAAGAAATAATTAAATTAAAATTCCGCGCTAGAATCAATCAACAATTCATTTTGTTATACTAACAAAGACACGTCAACTACTTCTCGAAGCTTTCAAAGCTCCAATAAACATAAATAATCAAAGAAAACGTCCATTGGTAACATTTCAAAGGACTACTGTATTTATTGATCCATAGTTCCACAGACGACCGACAGGACAATTTGCATTTACAATTCGCTGTCTTGCCATTGTAATAGTTAAAATTCTACGAAGTATTGATCTATTTTTGTAGTTCCATAACAAGTAAAATATTTGAATAAATGAGTGTTACTGTAGTACTCTTGAGTACAGCACTAGTGCAATCACTAACTAAAAGTCTTTCTGTTCTCTTTTCCTTTATATTTTTCTATGCAACTTGAAATAGCAAACAAAATAATGGCCTATCTAGTGGAAGGTGGTAACCGTTACCTATAAATATGTAATTGTAATTATTTATGTCAGCTTTACTCTCGTTTTAAATTTGGGAATGCTCGACTAATTTCATTGTCTTTTTTGAGGTCTAACTATTCAAATATCTCCGCACCCTATAATGTCACCGCTATATTCTTACTTTGTCATATTATTGTAATCGAAATACAGCCATGCAAGCACAACTATTTCGCAGTAGAAACACGATTAAGAGAGAAGTATCCAATCAATCGACTTTTATATTATGTCTCTGGTAATCATGTGAGTGCAATGGCCGCTCACCATTAGGTGGGTCATATACATGATTATCAGTATTGTTGTGTATATATACATATTTAAGAACACAGAGTTGACATATTCCCAATACATTACCTAACATACGTACGTTTACAAAACATCTATATGCATGTTACATAACATTTGACCCAGCTGTGAACAGCGCTATTTTGCAAAGCACAATTACATCCATACATTTTCTGGTATTAAATACATAGTTGCTACAACAATACAAGTTGTAACGATACGCGAAAAGTGTGAAATTATATACATAAGCACAACTGTAATCCAGCATTTCATTCTATTTTAGTTGCATCTTTATACGTAAAACTGCAATCGTTCTAACAACTCTATTTACTGTATAAAACTCAGATAACCATTCTGCTCCAATAGTCCCAGCCCGAAACAAACCATATAAAAACTGCATTTATTGTATCTAAACTATGCTATATACAATATTATTGCCCTTTTGTTAAGGATTATATTTAAATTATCTATAATATGAATTAAAACCAAAGTGGGCCACCCTTTCTTTTCCCATGGGTATCGTAAGTGGCGACTAAAGGAAGTTAATAGTCGAGGAATGAGCAGTCCTTTTAAAAAAATCATCAAACCCTAATTGTGATCGCCCATATGCCAAGTTTGACAACTACTGGCAAACCCCTTTTACGGGGAAGGCTCATGTTCAGCATTAGACAGTTAACGGCTGGTAAAATGATGATGAATTAACAATACCATTATGTGCGAATTAAGTAACCTTTGAAACAATTATGGTTCACGATATTTATATTCTTAAGAGTAGAGCAGTCCTAATCAGCTACTTTAAAACTTGAACAGAGGAATTTGCAACGGTTAGCTACGAATAATATTCCAGCAAATTCTAAAGTTTATCATGTCATTTACGTTTCTATCATTTTACACTTTTAAATACTCAACTGGATTTTTTGGATTTATTAGATCAATAAATGAATTTACAACTAATTATATATTTTCTTTATTGCAGATATACTGGAATATGACTTGCTACATGCAATTGGTGTTCCATTCAGCAACCAAAAAACCCAGTATTTTGATGAAGGCCTCGATGGATTCCCAGCTTATGGTCTGAAACCTGGCTCTGACATAAAGTCACCGTACCGCCTCTTTATGCCTGAGAAATTATATCCAGAATTTTCGATAACCGCCACAGTCAGACCAGCTAACAAAGACGGTGGTTTTCTTTTTTCTGTAGTTAATCCGTTAGAAACCGTTGTGCAATTAGGTGTGAAGCTCATCCCTTCTGGTCCTGGACTGACAAATATATCTTTACTATACACAGATGCAAATATATACGCACTATCTCAAACAATTGCTTCTTTCGTTGTACCTTCTTTTGCGAAGAAATGGTCACGATTCGCATTAATGGTGACAACAGAGAACGTAACTTTGTTTTTGAATTGCCACGAGTTCGATACTATGGCGGTGAAGAGAAATCCTCTAGAACTGGTTTTCGACTCTGCTTCAACTCTGTACGTGGGTCAAGCTGGACCTTTGATTGGCGGAGCATTTCACGTAAGTACATGTTCATTCTACAATGTATAATGGAAAGGGTATTAACAATTCGAAATCCAACGACAGCGTTATTAAAGTTAATAACTTTTTCCAAGGAGTATGGTTCGAAATATAAAAGTAATTTCGAACCATTCATTTAAATGCATCTGGTGAACGTTGGGTTCTATGATAGGTCATATTGTTTTATTTTAATGTCTTTTTATTTTACTTTGATAACAGAAAAGTTACTCCTCATTGTAAGGGAAAATATTAAAATGTTTCATTAATACTAACGTTTGATTTTTAGTTGTTATGCTCTTTCTATAACATCCAGAATCCATAAACTAAGTACTTTAATAAATTCATAAATTGATCACTTTTAATGCTTATTTTATTATTTAAACGAGATGTTTTCCCGAAATACAAATATTACAATAACTTGTGAAATAAAAGAAATATCAATGTCTTATTGTTTATACATTGCTATTACTCAACTCAGAACAATAAATGTAATACGAGGTCTGTCCGGAAAGTTCGTATAAAAGTGTTCTGGAATGCGAGAAAGAGGAGTGGGGAGGCCAGGTAAGCGCAGGACCCCTTCCTTATGTCCCTAACAATGCTTCAGTTCTGGTCTGACCGCCGTGCGGTGCGAACTGGCTTGTCACGCCATCTGTGAAGTTACCTCTTAACGAAACCCCGTCGGCATGGAGCCCGCTTCCGTTGAAGAGCAGCGCGTCGTAATCAAGTTTCTCTCGAAACTCGGCAAGAATGGCCGTGAAATTTTTGCCGATCTAATTCGATAAGACATCCGGGGAACCACGAACAAAAAAATCAAGAAAATCCCGCTCAAATGTCAAGACAATGTTGATTGTTTTTTTCGATGTTCGGGGGATTGTCCATCAAGTTCGTCCCTCCAGGCCAGACAGTTGATGGAAAATTCTACGTTGTATACGCCTCAAAGCTCGTGTTATCCAGAATTGGCGCGAGAGGGGCGTTGGATTCTTCACCACGACAATGCCCCTGCCCACACCTCTCTTGTTGTCCGTGAGTTTTTGAGTAAAAATTCCATTACGGTGACCGAACACCCCCTATTCGCCGGATTTGGCCCCGTGTGACTTCTTCTTGTTCCCAAAACCAAATTGGTACTTCGGGGGCGGCATTTGGGGACATAAATGAGATAAAAAAAGCTACGACGGGGCAGCTGAGAAACCTACAACCAGAGGACTTTCAAGGAGCCTTCTCACAGTGGAAACGGCGTTGGCACAAGTGCATTATGTCACAGGGGGAGTACTTTGAAGGGGATAAAATTGATTTACCTGAATAATTGTAAAATAAAATTTTTAAAAAACTTTTATACGTACTTTCCGGACAAACCTCGTAATGTAACGTACAGCAAAGATGGCAGGATAAGTGACTTACAATACAGTATTCTTAATCTATTTACCTACAATTTTCTCACCACACCCAGTTTATTTCTTGAAACATTGACGTATGCTTGTATATCAATTTATATAAGTGAGTCGTTCTATAATTTATCATTTACTATCCAGTCTTTCTACCTTTGATTATTAAAGAAATGAAACAAAGTGATCATGTTTAACATTTACATAACTAAATACATACATTTTATAGCATAAATTTATAAATATAATATTATAGTGAGCCAAACAACTTAAGAAAGAGTGTATTGGCATTTTTTTTTACCAAACGTTGAACTATAGCAATTCAAACAATAAGATATTATATTTTCACTTCGAAAAAATAAAAAGTTTAATTAATATTACAAATTAAGTTTAAACATTTATTTTACGCTAACGTTTTGTTTATTGTCGATCGTTCTTGAGTGCTTCCTGAATATTTAAATAAACATACAATGAAGTGACCATCTATATACACGTTTTGAATAACACTGTTTAATAATGACTGTATTTAATAAAAATTGGTTGATAAATTAATTATTTTTTAAATATTTTAATATTTACACTTCACTTAAGATATAATGCCAAAGTTCTCTCCTAATTTCTTGAAAGAATTTCGCAAGTTTCCTTTGGGTCTATAACCATTAACTGGATAATCACGTAATAGCTAAAATGAAACCTTTATATTTTTAAACGTTATATAAAAGTTTTTATATAATCATTATACAAAACTTTCTGTACATAAAAGATTAAGATGAAACTTTTATAGAAGTTATTTCAAAAGGTAAAGAATATTATACAATTTTTGAACAAGTTACTTAAAATGGGGAATATCCTAAGTTTTTCCTTTTTATCTTTACGCTGCATAAATAAATGATATAAAAAAACATACATATTTTCTAATATACTCAAAATTTCTGGAGTAGTTCCAGAAATTAAAAACAAAAATTTCATTTATTAATAGCTTTGAATTTAATAATAGCTTATTTCCTTAAAAAAAGTTGAAGGCTTTTCAAAGTTACGATACGACTACGTTCAAAGCCGCGGGCTTCAACTATTCTATATTAATATTATATAGAGGAAAGATTGTATAAACTACTCAACTAAAAAATTCTTTCATTTATAAAAAAAAAAACTATCAGCGAATTCTAGTTCTAAATAAAAACAAATTTATAATATCTAAATAAGTTTATTCTGCAAGTATATTAATCTATCTAATAACTTTTTACTGACAGTAATAAGGAATAAACAATGCGAAGCTTGAACAAACTAGTGTAAACATAATACAGATAACAAGACTATCTATCATTTGCCTTTTGGTATCGCAATATCCCTTATACCTTGTGTTTTCAGGGCCTTTATATCACAGGCTGTTAGGGGAGGGCCATGCATCCTGTTTTATCGCGCGCCTTTATAAACAAAGCCGCTTTCACAGAAGACAGATAAACAAAATTCTGTCGCCGAGCCTTTTGGTTAACAATGTATAATACACATAGACGTGACGCTCTGAGAGCATAATCTATATGGATAATTATTTATTTATACTTTAACTTGTGCTGTATTATAATACTTTACTACATACAAACATACATACGTTACGATGCTGTGCCCAGTAGCATCGTAACGTATGTAACGTTACAATGCTACTGGGCAAATTTTTTGGCTCTTTACTTGTATAATAGAAAACGAAAACTCCAGATACTACTGCGCTTGCTATGTTTAATTTTTATAGCAGTCTATGGGAGAGGCCTATATTCAGCAGTCGACGGATAATTGCTGGTATGATGATGATGATGAATGTTAAAATGTATTGATTATATTTTATTATTCATTAAATAATTTCATATTTTTAACATCATGTTAGAATGGGCAATTCGTTATTTGTTCAATACTGTTTTCTTAATAAGGTAAACTAGCCAATAATTTATTAGTAAAACATTATATCACGTAATAAATTAAACATTTTATGTTTTCCCATTAAAATTCCTTAAATTATCCATAGATTAGACAAAGGATACGGCCGTACGCTCCCACGTATCGTATTGTGTCGATGTAGGTACCAGTTGTGTTATGCTGCTGAATATTTTAACTCCCTGTACGTGAAGGGGATTATTTTCAATGTAAATTCCTCATAGGAAATACTATTAAATATAGATGTTATACGGGATTAATCGTAAAGGATGTACCTAGTCAAAACCCAGTATTTATAAAACTGAACAATTTTTCCCAAGGGAATTTGAAGTCTTCAAATAATTTTTGAAATTTCCATACAAGTTATATGCTCACGTATTTCAATATGAGAGATTGAAAAAATATTTTCAAATTTCGACTGGGTATACTTTTTGGGATTGGGAAGTTGTTTAACTTCATTAATACTATACATTAGCACATTAGGTTTTGTACCGTTTACGACTAAACTTGTATGACATAAAGAAGTAACTAAAAAGTGATAAACGATCAGTTTAACCTAATATACAATACCTGATTCAATACACGACTTACTATTTAACTCTTTTTATCCAATAATAAGTATAATTTAAGATGTTTTCCCACAAAGAAACATTGACTTCAATAGTAATAAAACCAGTTATTTTGATTTAAAAATTAAACTACCTAGCTGATTTTGACTAAATTCCTATAACACTAATGTGAAAATGTAATCTTTTAAATAAAAATCTAATTTTCCAAATCGGTTTATAAATAACGGAGTTATGAGGTTAGAAAGAAAGGAAAAATAAAACCGAATTGATAAGCTTTTCTGAAGACTAATGTCTTCAGTAATTATTAAGCGATTTTAAAGACTAATTATAATTTTACTCTCATGTTCTTACTACCTACCCCGCAAGTGACTTGGATTGAAGATGTATATATATATATAACCTAATGTAAATTTTGTTAACATTAAAATACTAATTAAAGTATATGTGGAAAAAAAATATCAACCGAAGTTGACTGACCGATAGTACAAATAGATACCACAACATTATTGTGTGAACAAAAGAAAATAGACATAAGCAAAAAAGGAAAACAATAACAGTAACTGTAGCAACTAAGAGTCATCAATATTTAGTATATTTTAATAAAAATTGTTGTCTTTATATTTTAAACTATTTAGTAATTTCATTAGATAAAATAACTTTATATCAAAAGAAAAACATAATTAAAATATATTGGCTAGTAACAAAATTTAATTATGGACATTTCGTAAATAAATAAGTTTATAAGTAATTTGAGGCGTTAATAGAAAAACTGTAGTACAATTTTGATGTATATGAATTTATTAATTAATAAACACAATTGATAACAAAAATGTGTAATTTACGTCACAAAAAAATCCAATTGTGATCATACACGTACATAGAAGCACGCAACACATGCTTACACACGCATATGCAAACAGATATTTAAAGACACATACTAATTGTAAATGGTGAATTTAAAACATGGGACCACGTTACATACGTATATATTTCTTTGTAAAAAGCAGTTTCAGTAAACAGAGGCAGTAAATACGAACATAGGACTAAACCCTATGGAATACAAAAGGAAATGTTAAAATCGGTTTAGAATTAGCAATGGAATCGCGTCACATAGTCACAAAAA